AGTATGTATGTATGTATGTATGTAGGTGTATGAATGTATGGGTATGTATAAGTACATATATATGTGGATATATATATATATAAATGTGTGTATATATGTACAATTTTTTTTATGTAATTCTGCTCCTATTACATAAGTTTATTTATAGAGTACCACTGTAGATAAAAATAATCTTAAAGGAAAAACCAATAAATTATAAATTAAATCATCTATGCAGGTAAAATAAATCTAATTCATGACTAATACACTATATTTTGTTGCACATTTGAATACGGACCTATTCAACTTTTTAAGGGAATCACTTTAAACAGCATGATATTGAATAGTAGCAACTTTGTTCACTGAAAAAAGTCTATTTGATGGATTGTCAGTTTGGTATACCTCATGGTTCTGCATTTAGTCCCCTCTTTTTCCTGTTTCAGTTTGCAGGAGTGTTCTAAAGTTTGTCCACCCTGAGTAACCTTAAATATGTTTTATATCTATGCCAAAAAAAATCATACCAAAAGCATAGACAGAATGACATCTTTTCCAACAGACTTGATCCTCTGTATGATATATAAACTCTGGTTAATAATGCACTTACCACTTAGAGTGTTACTGGACAGTACAGTTGTTTGAATTATAGATTATTTATTACTAGTCCTAGGTGTTTGGTCTATTTATATATATATTTTTTCTCTCTTTTTACACTCATGGTGGATAAAAATACTTCCTGTTGTAAGAATACTTCTTTTTTTTCTTGTTATATTATTGTTGAGTTCCCTGTCTTGCTGCTGCACCTTAATTATCTTTCTACCCTCCCATCCACCCAGCCAACCATGCTGTAATGGCAATTTATAATTGTAAAAAGTCATTTGTTGGTGTTCCTGAAGTACAATGATCCCAAAAATGTAATAGCTAGCCAATTATTACATTCAAACATTTCTTTGTTATTGCGATATGGCAGACACCAAACCTCAGTCAGATTTCACATACTGTGCAGCTATATAGCAGCAATATCCCTGTGTCTATAATTGATATATTGTTATAATTTGTTTTATGTTTGGATCTGAATTTTAAAGTTAAAACACTGAAAAAGTTAAGATGCATCTTAGTGATTCATTTACACATTTCTACCTATTTTTCTCCAGATTTGTTGCCGTCGATCAACATGAGGAAAATGGACGGTGTGGATTAGGATCCTTTTTTTGAAAAAAAAAAAAAAAACTCTTCACCACCATCTTTTTTATTTTTAATTTTCCTTTGTTTACTTGGGGCTTTATCTTGCTCACGTCAATGTGGGCTCTAAAGGACCTCTCCCCACTCTGTGGTCTGGAATAAAATGATGGCAGCCCGTTGGAGTGATTCCCCACAGGACAATGAAGAACGGAAATACACCGCCGTTACTCCCGCTTGCCAGGTAGGTTTCTAGATGCAGACGCCGTGTTTCTAAAAGCTTCTCTCTGTGTGTAGCTGCAGGACCCCTGAGCTTTGTTTTTCTTTCTTTTTTTTGGGTGCATTGTACTGTAAATAATCTTCGACACAAAATGAATTTATTTTGGACACAATGCCAGCTCTGTAGTAGTGGAGTAGAAAAATACTTGCACGAGGATCCACTTGTTGTAGGTCGTCGCTTGAACTCTCCGTTAGGAACTTGATTCTGCGAGGGCTGTTTTGGAAGATGCTTTCTCACAGAAAGCTCACGACATGCCTGAAAAGTTTCGAAGTGAGCGCAGGGAGAGTGAGCTAAGCGTTGCAGCACATCTGCCAGTATTTGGGGGTGATTGGGTTCGTTCGGTGCCTCTCTTTCCTCTGACAACTGGTTAAGTGCACAATGAGAGTTTTATGCTTGCAGAGCTGGTGATGTTACTAGGCTCTTTGTTGGTGTGCGTGTCAAACTCTGAAAAAATGGCACACTGTCAACCCCCCCCTCTCCTCCTTTTTTTTTCCTGAAGCGGTTACATCATCATCATCATCATAATCATCCCTGCCGTCCAGCTCTGCAGCGGCGGCATGTTTTGGAATAATCCATCAACAGAAAATGGTAACAGTGCTGTGAGTGTGTGGCTGTAATCCTCTTACTGTGTCAGAACTGGCTGAAGATGGATGACATAAATCTTTGGTAGCCCTGCATCCTGTCAGTGAAGGAGATGCAAAGACCTGCTGTCAACCTTTCCATCGTCTTCCTCTGGTAGTTTAGGACGTGTGTTTGTCTGATGGACACATATTTCTCTGTAGTGATGGTGCATTTTTTTTGAGAAATCTCATTAACTGAGGCGTGTTTTTTTTTTTTTTTTTTGTAGACATTAGTTGCCATGAAATCTTTCCCTTGTATCCATCCCGGCAATCTAATAACTGCTTCCCACAGCAACGCTCTGCTTTGCCTCTCTGTGGAAAACTAAAACCACCACATCCTCTCAAACTCCCAGAAGCATCCGAAGCGCATCAGTCAGCTTCAAAACTCAATTTCCCTTTTCCAATAATGACTCTGACCCAGCTGACATCAGCTTCTAAGAGATGGTTTTTGATGGATGTTTTAAAAGAAAAAAAACACTGAAGTATGGCTCTATACTTTTGTTTTCCCTTTTGTAAGATCTAAGACCTATGTTTGACGTTTTCTAAGGATCCCAACAATCTCTCTAACATTTAAAGCTTCTAATCTCCATCCCTTCCAGAACCAGGGGCCCTCGTTTGCATCGTCTTCACTTGATAATGGGGGAGATATTCACAGGGGTTTCCTCTCCACAGCTACCTCTGCAGCAAACGTAGACCCGGTCCATCCTGTCAGTGCCACAGCATAGAAGCAGCACGGGGTAATTTAGACCCAGCTGCTCTGATAGCTGAAAGCCCCGCCCCCCCGTGTGCAAGGTCCCCCTCACAACATCACTTACGTCTCTGTCCTCCCTCGACCTGCTGTCACACCCAAACTGAACGGGTTGGTCCAACCAGATGAGGTCCTCAGCTGGTTATGTCTCAGGGGTAAAACCAGGATTATACATTTTTTATAAGAGCAGCTCATTTGTTATGATCTCATTAACTAGAGTTGCATGTTGTGTGCATCTCTGCTACACTCTGGATAATTATCTGTCATCCATCCATCCATCCATCCATCCATCCATCCATCCATCCCTCCATCCATCCATCCATCCATCCATCCATCCATCCATCCATCCATCCATGCTCTCAACTTAAAACATCTACACTGGCAAAATTGAAATCTAGATACGTTTTCTTTTTTAAATAAGTGCATTTGTTCTTGGATTTAATGGGAACTTCATTTTTTTTTACATTGGGCTCTTGATTTTACGTTATTACATCACGTTCTACTCACCCATATTAGTTTGTGTTATTGGGAGCCGTTCTGAAGATATTTGGTTTTGTTATATCCAAGTAACGTCTTCCTATGAGCAACGACTTGAAGGCACAAACTAAACTGTTCATAATTTATCATTTATGGTACGCCAGCATTCATAACATGTAGGGAATCACTGTCCCCCAGACATCCGCGGTTATATTTTTTAGATTTATACGTTTTAAAAACAAAGCGAAGTGTTTATGACGTCATCCGCGCCCCCTTGCTACCATTCATTCATCCTGTCTGCTGAACTGCTGCTAGTTTTCCTCACATGCCTGGAAGATGTCTAGTGCTACTACCACAGATGATCTCGCTCTCAAAATGGAATTGAACGATTCAGATTAGCTAGCTGAAGGAATAGAAGGGGTAGAGTGTAGTCGCCTGTGGCCCGGGCTGTCTGTCACAACTCCAGTCCGCATGCGCAGATTGCGTCGTACACACGCCGCTTTGTTTTTAAAACATACAAATATAAAAAATATAACCGCGGATGTCTGGGGGACAGTGATTCCCTACATGTTCTGAATGCTGGCGTATCATAAATGATAAATTATGAATAGTTTAGTTTGTGCCTTCAAGTCGTTCCCCATAGGAAGACGTTACTTGGATATAACCTGACAGAATATCTTCAGAACGGCTCCAAATGAAACAAGACTCATATGGGTGAGTAGAACGTGATGCAATAACGTAAAATCAAGGGGCTAATGTAAAAAAACTGAAGTTCCACTTTAAGGAGTTTAAAGAGACATCTTCCCAATGCCAGAAGATAATTTACACTTAAAATAAATAAACACAATTGCATTGTCTTATTTCAAGTGCGTTAATATCTTATTTCAAGAGTAAAAGTACTCGTTCCATTGGCAAACCATCTCATTTACCTACTCAAATGAAGGGTAAATACACTTAATTTAAGACATTTTTACTCCTTCCAGTGTATAACCCCCTTCCTCTTCATCCACATGCCTGCCTTTCACCCGTCCTCTATTCCCGTGTGTTTTCAGCGATCCTATATTTAGCTCATGGAAAGATGAATGCTTAGGAAAAAGAGGAATCGCCGTACTGGAATGGCTCTTTTCCCTCTGAATGGTGTTAAAAGAAGTGGAAATGTGAACGTTGGCCCTCCCAGCTTCACTGTAGGAGACAGAGAATTTAACTGTGTTGGTTTGTCTCTAGTAGGAGCGTGTTTTTCTTTTTTTCCCCCTGACATTTCCAGCTGTCTGGGTTGAACCATGAACCCCTGAGATTTGGTGGCTTTTCACCGTTCAGTTTAATCACTGACTGGTAAAGGGGAGATTATAAGCTTGTTTATTAGCATTCAGATTTGTGACAGTTCATCAGTCAGACTAGAGGCTCGTTGGTTTTATTAGCATAAATCTGAGAAACAAATTTTCAAACGCTCAGCACATCAGGGTTCTTTCATTTCAGCCAAATCAAACACAAAAGTGGACATAACTGTGTTTTCATCTTTACATGGAAACGCAGAATGTTTTTTGTATTGGATAAAAAAAAAAAAAAAGTTTTACCATATTTACAGCGGAGCTACCATCTCTTCAAAGGTCACCCTGAATCATCTGCGCTGCATCTGAATCAGGGTCATGCCGTTTGTGGGTGTGAATATTTTATTAAGAGCCTTGCAAATGGATTCATACCTCTAAGCTTTTCACTTTACAGCCATTGTATAGAATAACAAAAAGTGGAAAGAAACCATTTTCAATGTCCTTGGATTCATGCATCAGTCTTCAGGCATGAGGTTTTTCTCTACCAGCTCTTTATACATAGAAAAAAATGGCCCATTCTTTGCTAAAAAGCTCAATATCAGTTAGATTGTCGGCTTCAGGACCTATAAACACTTACAGATCAGGTTTTAGCTTTAGATCATGCTAACGAACTAAAGTGCATTTAACAAATGTTTAGGTTTTGGGTTTTCCTGCTGGAAGGTGAGCCTTTCCCTTACAGCTTCTATCTGCTGTAATAAAAGCTATAAAATATTAGCCTGATAAACCTGATTCAATCTGAGATTAAATGTATAACGATGAATAACACATCGGAAGATTGTTGATGAGAACAACCCGTTGTCTTTCAAACCATGTCTGTGCCTATTTTTAAAACGGCGAATACGTCCTTCTTAAAAATGAATGTGCGTAGAGCCTCTTCCTGCTCACGTTTCAATGAAAATCCCAAGTCTAATCCTTCCAAAACTGATTCCAAAGCTGAGTCAAACAAGAACTGTTCAATAGTTGTTGCCATCTTCCTTGTTGTGCTTTCTCCAGCGTCGTACAGCTTTGTCATCACGCCCTCAAAACCCCGCCCACTTTGGATCCAAAAATTCACACATCTGTCATGATCGGTTGAAGGCATCTGACCCACATGCAGAGTAACCACTCAGAGAACATGGAGAAAAGTTCAACAGGTTTATTGGAAGTAAATGAACACTGGCGTTGAGTCTGGAACTCAGTGAACTGGTGAACCGGAACTGGAAGTGAGAAGGGAAGATCACAGAGATCAGTTCAGGGACCGATTTTTGGATGTTGTTAAGTTTATGCAGGAGAGGGACTCACGTTTGAGGGGGCTCTTGTCAATCCTTGAATCCAGTCTGTGTGGGATTATCCAGAGAATAGGGAACACGTTGGAGAGCAGACAGGTAGACAAACGTTGGACCCGGAGGAGTAATGGAGCGGACTGTCACTCGGATTTCCAATGGGAACTTGAACGGATCATGTGGAGGTTTTCCCCTGCTCAGTGTGAACTCAGTCTTTCCTTCCAGGGGGAGAAGTTCCAGGTATCCAGTTATACAAGAAGGCTTCCTGCCGAAAAACAAAGACAAAAAGAACATAAGTCTCAGAGAAACAAAGCTCAGGTTAGA